CGGGGCCGAGGGGCGGCCGGGCGGCGGGGCCTGCGAGCGGCCCGAGGCTCCGGGCCCCGCTCTGGAGCGTCTCTTGCACCCACAGGTGGGAGTGACGGCGCAGAAGACGATGAGGCTGCTGCCCGCCTCCGGGAAGAAGGCCACGCAGAAGGTACCGAGCGCCTGGTGCTTCGCTGCCTCTCCTGCCCTGGGCCTCACCCTAGCGCTAATCATCTCCAGAGTTTCCTTAGATGTGGGACGCCATAGGGAAAGACTGCGCAACCCCGTTTTGGGGGTTTGGAAAACCTTTTTTTGGAAAAAGAAAAAAAGTAGAAAAGAAAAAATCCGAATTTGTAATTGGAAAACTTTGGAACGGGAAGGAATTTTTCTACTTTACGGCGTTGCTGAAACTGCAAGGGAGTTCTTCCATATTTCTCTGTTTTGGTTTTACTGACACTTAAGACGAGAGGAAATGCTCTGAAGCTGAGACAAGGGAGATTCAGATTAGATATTAAAAAAAAATATTTTACTGTTAGGATGGTCAGGCATTGGAATAGGCTGACCAGGGAGCTGGTGGAGTCGCCATCCCTGGAGGTGTTAAGGAGGATCTGGCACTGGGTGCCATGGTTTAGGGGTTACAGCAATAATGACAACTTGATGCTTGAACTTGATGATCTGAAAGGTCTTTTCCAACCTTGATGATTCTATAGAATATTTATTTTTAAGTATTTCTTAATTTTATTAAGGAAACCTTGTTAGGGAAACTCAATAAAAAAAAGCTGCATTTTTTTTTCCTTCAGTAATAAAGTTTTAATGTGAAAACACAACTTTTCCCAAATACATCTTTGCCTCATGGTTGCTGACATTTACAGTTAGAAGCAGGAAAAGGATTCTAAATGCCTGTACTTGGACTGCTGTTCAACATCCTATTTCTAATACTTTTTATAGATCTTTAAAGTGTACTCCTATATGTAATTTAGTAATTTACTCCCATATGTAATCTAAAATTTTAAGTCCTTGAATATACGAAAATATCATTAATTTTATAATAGAGAAACTATTTCCAGTAGCATGTAGCGACTAGACAAGGGGCAATGGCAAAAACTGACAGGAGAGTAGGTTTAGATTAAATATTAGGGAAAAGTTTTTCCCTGTGAGAGTGGTGAAGTACTGGCACAGGTTACCCAGAGAAGCTGTGACTGCCCCAGCCTTGGAAGAGTTCAGGGTCAGGTTGGATGGAACTTGAGCAACCTGTCCATGGCAAGGGATCTTTCAAGTCTCTTCCAACCCAAACCATTCTGTGATTCTATGAATACAGGAGGAGCACTATGTAAAACCACAGCTTTGTGTGTAATAAAAAATAACCATGTGTTCTACTTTTGAAGGTGGTTGTTGGAGATCAGGATGGGGTCGTTACGTGTTTTGGCATAAAAAAGGGTGAAGCTGTGGTAAGTGGAAATGTTCCATTTAAAATTTTATTTTCGGAATGTTCTTCCCAGTGAACTTTGAAAGTCCATTTTTTATTGATGTGGCAATAAGATGCCAGTGGAAGGTGTCTAGGTAGAGCTGTGGACTGATTCCTAACTGTGGTGAGGGCATGCTGATCTCATGCCTGGTCAAGCACAGAATTCTCCACCGTTGTAGTCAAAAACTAATGTGGAGAAAAAAAAAATAACTTCTGCACATTTTGCACTTCAGCTAAATTGGGCTTAAGCCTGGGCACATACAGTTATTGTAACGAGACAAAAACTGCAGGGATTCATTAAATCACCTTAGGGATTTGGACAAACTGATTGCTTTTTATGCCCAGCTCAGTAAAAAATTATTTTATTTCACTGTTTTTTCTTCTCCAGGAAGTTCATGGTTAGCTCATAAGTGTTCTATAACAATACAAATAAATCAATGTAGACTTCTGGAATAAGAATGTAACATGTGAGAGGGAGAGAGTGCATGTGTGTTGTTCTTTAAAATAAAACACAAACCATAGACTAGCTGACAGCAGTGCTGAATTTTTCCCATGGATGAATTAATAACAATGAAGTAATGAAGTTTTAATTTATTATGTTTTAAAGCTTATTGTATTTATTTTCTCATAAAATGCTTGGTTGCTCTGTGGTTCTGAAGATAAATACACAGATTATTTTTATCTGTGTACAACCCATTGCATCTTAGTTTTGCCAGAAATTGTAAAGTAAGTTTCTTAATGTTTATGTTAAAAGATTACGATAAATATGATATTGTGATGACGAAAATTGCTTTTCTGTTGACAGCCAGTGTTCAAGACACTACCAGGACAAAGGATCTCCAGATTGGAGCTGGGAGGAGCTCTTAATACACCACAAGAGAAAATTTTTGTGGCTATAGGATCTGAAGTCAGAGGTTTCACAAAAAGAGGGAAGCAGTTTCTTTCCTTTGAAACTAACCTTACTGAAAGCATCAAAGCTATGTATGTATGATGTTTTGCCTTTTTTGAGAGCTGTAGCAGATTGTTAGTTTATGATTTTATGGAATAATTTTAAGCATATTGTGTAGGTGGCACTAAGTGCCAGTCCAGCTTCAGCTTGTGCTGCAGCCTCTAGGAGGAATTGGGAATATTATGAAGAAGTCTTGGAGGTGTGGGGGGAATTGGGAGTGGTCTGGAGGTATTCACAGCAGTGCAAAAGCTGTGTGAGGAGAGCTGGGGTTATTGCCACAGTATGTCCTGTCCACGTAGCTCCTGGAGCAAAATGTTTTTTGGATTGCGTTTTAAGATGTTGCCATAGACAAATCAGCATAAAAAATACAATAATAATGAAATTTCTATAAAGATATTATTAGGGATTTACCTGAATACAGAGTGGAAATGTGAGAGCTGTAGAAACCACGTGGTTTTAGCATTTATAAGGAACTCTAAAAGCTGGAACAGCTTGCAGGGCCCCATAATACCTTGGCACTGGGGGCATAGTAAGGCATAAAAGCATAAAGGACTCTTGCTGCAGCAAGATGCTACAGGATGTGTTTTCTTCTCCTCAGGTACATCTCAGGAGCAGATCTCTTTCTCTGTGCCAGCTACATCTATAACCATTACTGTGACTGCAAGGACCAGCACTACTTCCTATCAGGAGATAAAATCAACGATGTTCTCTGCCTTCCTGTAGACAGAGTGAACTGCATCACACCGGTGCTTGCGTGTCAGGACAGAGTGCTCAGGGTGTTACAGGTTAAAATGCCTCCTTCTTTTTGTTTTATGTGTGGATGCTATGGAATTGCACTAATTATTAAGGGAATACGTATCAGCATGGCTTAAACATCATAAGGGTCAGCGTGTTGTGCCTTGCTTGGCAGTGCTGTTGCTGGTGCATTCCCTTTCTGCTGGTTTTTTTTTTTTAAGAAAATCATTCCCATAAACTTGTAAAAAATGAGGATTTTAAGGAAACCACTATAAACAGGCTTTGGAATTCATAGGTGGAAGTTGATGACAAATTGGTCCCTTCTAACTAAAAGTGCTCACCTACACATTTAATTTCCTGAAGTCTTTATCACTTTGGGAATTCTTGCTCTGATCAATTACTGTTGCAAGAAGCCGTGAGTGATACTAAGAGGTTTAACAAATTAAATTGCCAGATGAGTTTCTGGATCATTTTTAATGATAATAACATTTCAGGAGTCCTATGTTTTATTTCTACAGACTTCACCCTGTTTTTGGCTTAGAAATGGTTTTCCAATAGGAGTTTGAATAAGTAAATATTGCCTTTTGGTATGATCCATAACAATTTTGTCATTGTGGGGCTTTGGTTCAGTATGTGGCTGGTGTTTTGGGGTTGTTGGTTTTTTGGGGGGTTTTTTGTTGTTGTTTTGATTATGTTTTTTTGGGGTGTTTTTAACAAATTCATTGAAGATTGTTTTCTTTGTCTTCAGGGATCTGATTTGCTGTATGAAGTAGAACTTCCTGGACCACCTACTGTTCTTGCTCTGAGCAATGGAAATGGGGGTAACAAGACTTTGAATATACACATAA